TAAAACAAATCTGTTTATAACCTCAAATAATGTCCTAATATGAATCTTAAAATAAAAATTTCAATTTTTGAGGTAGGAAGTAGTTATACATATAGTCAGTCAGAATTGAAATTTTGATTTTAAAATTTCTATTAGGACATTATTTGAGGTTATAAAAGATTTGTTTTATAAAAATGTTGTTTTAGCGGCCATATATCACTCAATTTTCATCCAAAAATACTTTACAAAAGTAAAAAATAAAAAAATCGAATTTTTTGCTTTTTTCAAATTGTTTATTAACAATTTTTTTGCATTAATTTTTTTTTATTTTTTAAATAAGCTACTTCCAGGGGAAATTTAATTCTCTAAATAATTTTCCTATGAAATATAGCAAAATTTTGCTTCGTTTTCGAGCTACAATTAAAAAACTGAAAGGGGTGCATTTTCACCCCTACCTCCAATTTCCACCCTCTAATTTAATAGCACTCCGCGGCTTTTTCATCTAAAATTACCCTTTGCAATAAAATTGCTTGAACGTTCCTTTTAACCCTGTTTTTTGGATATACATATTCAATAGCCCAAACGAAGACAATTCCGCAACGTAGCGAGTGTAAATGGTCAAAAACAGATGCAGCAATACTTATCACAAAAATTTAAGGATAACAAAAATTTTAAATTTTTAAGTGATTTTCAAAAGGCTGTAGCAACTTGAGGAAAAATGGAAAATGGTCGTATCAGGATCTGAAAGCCAAAAACTTTTATTGTTGACCACTTTCAAGGAATCGTAAGCAGAAAATATTTTTCATAATTTTTGCTTCTCTTTCAAAAGCTCTTTTAGTTTGGTGTCCCAAAATTTTGAGTAATTGGCAAGAAATAGTGAAAAATCCATGGGCGAATGTTTGATCAACTTTTAAACAATGTCGCCCACCGTATTCAGCGTGCGGATACGGTACATATTATTCTACACTACTTTTTACATGGTCTATAAAAAGAAGCTCTCACAATCTTCGCAAGCTTGCCGATTAAAATTTCAAAAGCCTGAACAATTTTGCTTTCATTCTAAATAAAAGGTCACGTAGTCAGCGACTTACCGATATGCCGATATGATAGACGATAATATTAGATCTTTTTTCCTGGGGTCGGCGGTGCACACCCCTGCTCCCCCCAGCTACGCCCATGGAAAAATCGCCGAAAATCACGATAATGAGCCCAAAATAATTCGAAAAAGTTTGTTCTGAACTTGATCAAGTAGCTTTCTTATGTATTCAGATACCTATGTTGAATCCAAATTTGAAGTCTTTTATGTTGAATCCCCCCAGATTTTGCAAAAATCGCAAAAGAATAGCGTAAAATCACCAAAAATGGCGAAAAATCGCCAAAAATCATGTCAGTGAGCCCAAAAAAATCCAAAAAAAATTTCTGACCTTGATCAAGTGTGTTTCTTAATTTTTTTCCCACTAATTTATTTACATTCTGTATTTCTCAACTGCCTATAGTTTTAGTCAAAAATAAATAAATACCGAAATTTTCCACTATATTTGTACCTATATCTCTCATAAAAGTCCAATGGCTTGTTCGTGGTGTTCTTCCTAACCCACTGCACAAACCAAGACGTCGTCTTTCGCAGTGCACTTGCAAAAATGCGCCCAGCGCAATTCCCGCATTCCATATTCATACTCCAACGTCTCAGTCCTATAAATTAAAAGCCACTTTCACTCAATATCGTGCACATCATTAACCAAGGCTTATTAATTCCAAACCAGATAAGATCTAGCATTTGCGAACAACTAGGAAGCAGAAACGTCGAAGTTCGCGCTTTATTTGGGCATGGCAGAGAATGTCCTTTTGTCTTCGTCCTCGGGATCTTTAGTTTCACGTTAGAATCACAACAGGACGCGGCAGTGGCGGAATTATCGACGAATGTAATAAAATTTGATATTTCGGTGTGTCGGACGACCGAGAAATGCAGAAATATACATCAAATATCAGTCACGGAGTTTGTAGATTCGAATAACTGATATGGAGATGGAAAGTTGAGATAAGCCTCGCTCAGTATTTGTTATTTCGTAACAGTGATTGATATATTCTAATTAAGATATTATAAATTCATTAATACTGGCTGTTAATTAGCTTGTTTCTACAATAAGGAAAGTCGTAGTTTGTTTGGCAACAATGTTCTTTATTTTCTAAAAATAACTCTGGTTTCTTTGTTTACTGATAAAAATGGTGAATACGGTAAATAGTCTCATTTACGTTTCACAATGACTTCTTCTAACATGGTTCACATACAGATGGCAGATAACCAGCTTTATATGGCGTTTTTCTTTGAATACCTAATACGCGAATTGTCCAGTTTGTCATATTGCGACGGTACGTGAGCAGAATTAAAATTAGTTGGTCGAAGGGTCCCCATTACAATTTCAAGCAAATTATACGACCATATTCATCTTCAGGACTTATCAGTTTAAATAATTTATTATTTAGAACAGGCATAAAGGTGGAGTGTAACATAGTTTATAAATCCAATCGAGTTATGAAATAGTTATTTACACTATAAAGGAGATAAGTATTATTTACCAGTCGAGGACGATTTTGCGCCCGAGCGGAGCGAGGACTGGCAATAGAGTCCGAGACTGCTAAATTACACTTAACTGCTGCGTGGTGTATAATATTTTATCTGCTGCCACAGTTCTTTATGGTTCATGAAATAAACTTAGGTTTTATTTTTTGACATTTCTTAATCAATTAATTTTGACATTATTCGAAATCTTGCAAAGTCGCCTTGGATTTTGTCGTTTCTAAACAAAGCTACATAAAAGTTGCAATTTTGCTGGTTTTGAATTATTATTTCTAAATGAGTGATTTTCAAAATTCCAGATTCTAAAAATGCTATGTCACGTACGTTTATAATTACTTCTCCTCTGAGTTATGATTCTCACATAGAAATTCTCAAGAAATATATCAAGATTAGATTAGAAATTAAAACTGAAATTTCAAACTTTTTTATGCGCTATCAAGCAGGTAGATGTTACGACCAACCATTCGGCAAGAATACCCTTTCTATGATTCCTAATAAGACTGTACAGTTTTTGAATCTTTTGAACATCCTGAAACATATACAGGCCATTCATTCCGAAGAACATCGGCAACGTTAGTGGCTAGTACAGGAGTTGATATATTATTTTAAGAGACATGGTCAGTGGAAATCAGCCACAATTGCAGAAAATTATGTTGCTGACAGTTTAAGTAACAAAAATGAAATAGCCAACAGGATTCTTTACAATCACACTTCAACTCTAGTAGTATGTCGCATCATGCTGTTTTAATGGATCAGTCAGATAATATTGAGCCTCCGGTGGCTGAAATGGAGCGGCCAAATCATTTTGAGAAAAATGTGACATTTTATAAATGTTACTATATATAATAACTGTACAATTACTATAAATATTCATTCTTAATAATTATTAAAACGTAATATTCATCAATTATTTCTATTTATTTGTTAATAAAACATGCATTTCTAACTCGAAATCGCTTTTTTCTAGTGGGAGCAGATAAATGATATTTCAAATAGTTTAAAAGAACCGGAGAAAACATCTTTCAAGGGCTCACCCTTAAGGAGCCCTCGGAAGAAGCATTCTTTATGCTCCTAACCTTTTTCATTTATTTGTAATCGTTATATCGAGCTACCCTCACAGTTTCCTCTTTAAGTATAAACGAAACACCCTGTATATAACACGTGTGGCATACAAAACAAAGCTATGCTTTCCTATTTCGTTCAGCGATTAACGAGCATTCTGCATGTGCGCCGACCTGTCTCTCCATATTTAAAACGGCTGAATTTCCCACGTGTTTTTCCATTTTTTCTCCCCGTACGGACAGTACGGCACGAAGTCCGTACTCCAAATGGCGCATAGAAAGTCGCAGCAGGCGAGAAGCGACATTCGATTGTCCCCAGACAATAGCGACCGTTTCTTATTACACCGCGCTTATGAATTATTACAGTAGGTTTTGAAATTAATACGTCGCGGTGCCGCAATTGTTTCCTTTTCTAGTCTTTTCGTCCGTTTTTTTCGCTTTTCGCGACCTCGATCGGCGGAGTATGGTTACCTGACCCGATTCAGGCGATTTAATTTATGCGGAGAGCTTTAAATGTCTCGTTATTTATAATTTTTATGTGGCTCACCTTTTACGTTATTGTTTCCCTGTTATTTTACGGATTTGGAAACGCGCGATGCAGATAGTAGGCGGCGGTATGTTTATGGCGTAGTTTTTTCGCGGATCGCTGCCTAAAATGGACAAAATGACTCGCTGTAATACGTTTTTTATGATACGCTGTTACGAAATGGTCATTTTCGACAGTCCTGATGCAAATTTACCATAAATGGTACAAATTTGTATATCTGCGGTTATATACAGGGCGTCCTTAAGGTCGGTAAGATAACTTCACTGGCTGAAGTTTGAAAAAATGTCACATTTGTCCAAATATCAACTGAAGATACAACTTAAATTATTTACAAACATTTTTTACAAATCTACCATTTTACTATTCGAGTCAACTGACTATTTCACTAAAAATATTGATTAAATACACTTAAAAATACTGAAAAGGAAACAACGTCAGTGAAAATAACAAATACACGCAGATACGCCATTGAAATTTCATTAAAAACTCGATGAAACAAGATTATAGTACGGAGATAAATTATTTAACTGTCGAGCATAGGCGCCCAACATTGCAGGATTGGTATACACCCACTTCTCGACCAATGTCACGAGTAATATTGCAACACACAACGCACCTGCACAAGATGCACAAGGTCGGCTTACATTTACGGTTAATTTTCTTCATTAATTTTCCCGAAAACAGAAGTATTTAGACGATCAGATGCTTAATAAAAATAGCTCATTTTCGTGACCTCTTTTGCAGGAATGCACTTATCTCAGGAACGCCCTGTATAGACTCTGGTATCAAAACCGAGAATTTGATATGATTTAACATATTCTTCTTATTGTTTTAGGTTAGAGACCTGGTAGCCCAATGCACCTGCCCCACACAGTTCCCCATGATAAGGGTATCAGAGGGAAAATACAGAATTGGAGATACTAAAGTGCTGATCTTCGTAAGGGTAAGTTTTTCAATTTTTTTACGTGTTGCGCTCACTTATGATTAAAAAACATGCTGGCCTTAAGCTTTAGTCGTATTTGCTTGCTTCTTGTATAATAAAGGTTTCCCATTCGAATGTTTTTGTCGTTGCTGTGATTAATTACAGTGATTTTAATGATTCGTATGTGTCGGCTGAAAGTAAACTTATGTAGAAATTCGAACAATGCACCATCGATCTAAAATTAACCTTCACAATGAACAACTGGACTCGTTGAGCGCGTGCAAAGTCCTCGCGTTATCAAACATGCTGTATTTAAAAAAGTGCAATCCGTTTTTATTATAAAAGTAAAGGAACATACGTTTGATAAGTGTTTACTAACATTTAGTGTGTTTGATTATAAAAGCCCCGAGCTATAACTTAGTTACCTATTTTTGAACACCCTGTAAAGTATTTACATGTTTTTTCCAAAATTCTAAGAATTTTCTACATAACGTGGCAACCCCGCACTAAAATGATAAACTGTTTATATTGCCATATATAGAATTTTCTCAGAAATCCAAGTGTTTAAAAATATACAGGGTGTTCCATTTAAAAAATGTAATGTTTGGCGTGTCCCGTTTTTACTCATCACCCTGTATGTTTGAAATTAATTTTTTAGTTTAGGTTTCTTGATTCTGTACAACTTTTATATAAACTTTTTTTCTGTATTATAAATAACAAGGGAGTTAGTGTACTTCCTCACACTAATGGCCCACCCTGTATATTTTTAAATTAGTCCAGGCGCTAGAGCATTCGAGGCGTTTGTATTTGAAGTCACAACCATTGCTAAATTCAGGGAAACAACAAACATACAAAAAGAACGAAAAATTACCCGTTTTTCGACATATTTTTCCCTGTAATATTGAAGAACGTGTCATTTTTCGTCGTTCTTTTTATTTTTTCGTCACATTGTCGATGAGTGGTGACGTAATCGATATTTTTTTAAATGGGAGTGTATACATTTTTCTGCACGTTTTCATTGATTTTTTTCCAACCATATAAAATTTGTATGCCTTTGCATAACGAAATTTTTGAGAAAAAATGAAAAAAAAATGAGAAATAAAGCTCGGGCCTTTTATAATTAGATCCAGCTATCCTAAATCTTGGTGATTGTCACATAAATGCCTTTGAGATTTGTTTCGACCGTATTTGGAACACTACAAGATCCCGAAGACAACAAATATTTGCCTCTGCTTTACTTTTCTAACCATATGCCCTCAGTACGCCAAGATGTTTGTTTTTGGTGAAACCAAAGCACACAAACACACTCCAAGCATTCTCCGAGTTGTTTGCTTAGATAACAAATATTTGGAAGGCCCAGTGACAGATCCGAGGATTCTGTACTACAGTGCAGTACGTGTGACACAATTTAAAACATAATTATGATTTCAGATCCTGCGCAACCACGNTAATTAATATTTTTAAATTTTTCAAAAATGTACTTTTTTGGCTTGCCGCGGACTGTGCTTGCAGTAAATAGCAAATATGGGAACGTAAATGTAAACGAGTTATAGAAGAAGAGAAAAGTGAAGATTTTTAACGGTTTTTTCGATATATCTCGAAAAGTAACAAAGCAATCGATACTTACAAAAAATCAATAGATAGATCTTTTTAAAACCTCATTTAAAATTTTTCGATCGGTGCTATATTTTTTTTAGTTATTTTAGAAAAACCGTTCTTTGCAACTTTGCGATTTTTTTTAACCATGTTCGCCAGTTTAAAATTTAATTTTCTATATATATATTTTTTTTGTCCAGGTAATAATTTCTGCAAATTTAACATTAATCCGTGACAGAATGCTTGGACTACTTTATAATTAGACTGTTTACAAATCCAGCTATCCTAAATCTTGACGATTGCCACACAAATGCCTTTGAGATTTGTTTCGGCCGTATTTGGAACACTACAAGATCCCGAAGACAACAAATATTTGCCTCTGCTTTACTTTTCTAACCATATGCCCTCAATACGCCAAGATGTTTGTTTTTGGTGAAACCAAAGCACACAAACACACTCCAAGCATTCTCCGAGTTGTTTGCTTAGATAACAAATATTTGGAAGGCCCAGTGACAGATCCGAGGATTCTGTACTACAGTGCGGTACGTGCGACACAATTTAAGGCATAATTATGATTTCAGATCCTGCGCAACCACGTGATGGTCAGGGTAGGCGGTGGATGGGACACCCTGTCCCATTATCTGGACAAACACGATCCTTGCAGGTGCAAAAGTCAGCACAGGAGCACGCAAAGCGCCAGGTTGGTCAACAAGCCTGGAGCTGCTGATTTACACGGGTCGCACGTGTACTACGAAAGGTAAGGATCTAGTTTTAAAAAAAGTAGTGGAAAATGTAAACATCTATCTTGATTTTATAATTAAAAGCTTCTTATATTACTGTTTACAAAGAATAAAGTGCTGGTAGGTGTTAAGAACCCAAATAAAAATAATTATGTATTTATTTATTGCTGCTACACAACAAAAGTTATGATACAACTATGAAGAAATAAGCAATGCAAATCCAAACCGGTTAAAAAAAGTTGCTATAATCAATGTGTCGAACCTGACTTTTTATAGGCAAAGATATTATATTAGCACGTGGGTGCTTTTTACAACTATTTATTCCTCGACCAACTTGTCGTTTTCGACAAAAATATTTGTTTATGCAAAAAGGTTCCTTCACCCCGCCCAAAAACAATTCTGCAGGCCCAATTCTCACCTACAGCCCAATAAAGTGATGCTATCTAGAGGTCAACCGCTTCATTGCAATCAGCGACTGGCGTACCTCAAGGCTCTAATCCAGGGCCACTTTATTTACAATTTTCAATTGTTTCAAAGCACACTCTACGCGAGTGTAAGTCTGTCGTTTCGAAATGCCGCAGCAAAGAATCCAAACAGCGATAAAAGATAGTTTTCGATGTACGGGCACAACTTCCTGCGCAAACAAAGCGGCCATAAATAGCTTTATGCCCGCATTAGTGTCGCCTGGCTTGTTTCTAGTCGTCAGAAATTGTTTTATTGGTCCCGCAGTGCATTTGGGGCCTTGTTAAAATTGAATTAGTCACGGGGTATGTGACATATGGACCTTTTAACTCAAAGAGAGCGTTCAGAGACACATGTGGCCGTAGTTGCGATCCCAGACGCTGTTAAAATCATAATAATAAACACTTAAGACTATTTAGGGTCCCAGTGGTGTTTTATAGACTTTTTTCGGTTCATTTCCTGCGTCTCTGACATCTGCAAGGCAGCCAAGTCGAAACTATTTGTTTACAAGTACGTATTTCCTAAGACGTCTTCAGATGAGTTCAGTTGATGTGAAATGTGCTTTCTGGCAAATTCCGTTGTTTTATTTTTCGTTCGATACTATTGTAGTATTTTTCTGTTAGTTACCTGTTCATATCCAATCTAAAATTACATTGGTCGGAGTAAATGAAAGTAAATATCCTCATTAATTCTTGTGTTTGTACAATTATACTCGTAAAATTGAAATGCCCGGAAGTAACTATAAAATAAAAATAAACTTTGTTTACTATTCGACTATTACTGAGTTTTACTCTTGTCAGATTCGTAAACATAAATGTCTAGTTTTACTGCTACAAACTGGATCAATAACGGTAATAGAGTGACTGAAATTTATTAGTTACCATTTTTTATTTATCATACAGGGTGTCCGCAAACTAAACAGACAAACGAAGACAGTAAGTTCTAGGGATGATTTTATATTGATTTGACATAAATCGTCTTATCCAAAAATGCTTCCTAAGGCAGGTAGGGCTCTTTGCAGATGGCCTTTTGACAATGTTTTATTTTTAATTGTTCAAATCGCTGTTTATCTAGAAGAATCAGATTTAGGTTATGTTTTAAATTATATGCGGACAATCTTTTAACGTAAAAATGATCTTTTAATTGTAACCATAGGCGTCACATTTGGGAGGGTCAGCTAATATTTTTAATTATAAATTTTTTATTTTCGACTTTTTGATATTTTTAATATCAAAATCGAAAACTTCAGAGTTTTCTATATTGAAGAAGTAGGTACTCTCGTCTTCAGTGAGGATTTAAATTGTTTGTCTTTTTATTCAAAATCTAACCGTTTGGCAGTAAATTTAAAAATATATCCTACTACCTAGCCTTATTTTATTATTAGTTGTACGACGCATTTTAGAATCATCCGCTATAAAGTACGTTGCCCTACTCTCCATACTAGGCCAAAGAAATCTTACAAGGTCGTGCAATAACTTTAAGTCTTCCCCAAAAGGGTTACGAACTCATTTTACGTTTTTATACCAACTTAATCTTAGTAAATAGATTACGAAAGAGTTTTATCCTGTATTTTAAAGCTTTTAATACGTTTCCAGGCCCCCAGCCGGCAGCGCGACTGTACCCACCGGCGTCAACGGTTACCCGAACACCTCCTCCAACAGCCCTCCCTTACTAGGTCCCCCCACGAACTCCCTGAACCGCTCCAGGTCCCGCTCCCCATCCCACCTCTCCTATACCGACACCAGACGGTCAGTCAGTCCGAACTTCCCTAGAAAATCCCTGAATATCCCCCAATCCATTAACAGATCTAGAAGCCCGACCCCCAACTTCACGTCGACGCACCTGACCAAGCTCAGCACCCACAGGAGTCCACAACACCTCCAGAAGAACTACGGCCCTCAGTCCTTGCCCATCATCAATTCGGGACATCAATCTTTACCTGTGAACGTCGTCCCGACGTCTCCAAAGTCCAAACACGTCAGCAGCATGCAGATTCCAGCAGATACTAAGGTAGTTTTGTTATTTGAATACAACGAACATCCTTGACCAATACTCAGTTAATTATCATTCCTAAGTAGCTTCTCTCTTCCATATATACATTTCCTGTCTTGGCACCAGCGGAAATATTACTAATACAATTTAATATGTATGTTAATTACGTCTATCTAACATACGTGGTGTGTTGACTCAGGTGATGAAATCAGAAGCAGTGCTGCAAGTGACAGACACAGACCACAGCGACACCACTTCAGAAGTGTCCGACGAGGGTTACAGGAGTTTGGGCATCGTCCACGACAAGAAGAAGCAGCGGTCTTCATTGTACAGCCAGAACTCTTCTGAGGATGCGGAAGAAAACGGTGAGTAGTGTGCAAACATCTTTTAAATAAGCTGTACAACGTATTTTTTTAGAGCATCAAGTGTACACTGAAGACGACCTTAATGATTTCGGACTGAGGAAAACCCAGTTCTCCCAGAGAATCTACGATAACGACCTCAGGGCAAAGCTAGAGAGGAACATGCAGTCCATGGAGAAGCTGACAGAGAAGGAACCTCCTTTCCTGAAGGAGAAGGAAAAGTCCGTGTGCAGCCAAAACTCCTCCGATGAGGTGGATTACAAGCAAGCACTGAACCAGTTCGACGCAGTGTTGAACTCTTGCGAACAGGGTGATGAAGACATCAACGACTTTGGCTTGAGAAAAACTCAGTTCTCCCAGAGGATATACGAAGGCGGTATGAAATCCAAGCTAGAAAGGAACCTCCAGTCCATGGAGCAGTTATCAGAATCTCCCAACAAGTCCCCCAAGTCGATGGCGAGAGAACCCTCCGTCCCCAAGCAGAAAGAGACAATCCCCAGACAGAACTCTTTCACCAAGAAAGACCGCTCCACACCCCCGAAAGAAAAATCCTTGAGCAGGGCGAACAGCAGCGAAAGGGCGGAGCTCCAGAGAAGCCCCAAGAGAGGCTCACCGGGCCCCAAGAAGGTCGAATCCAAAATCAACACTTGGAACGGCAGACCCAAGGCCTCTAGACCCAGCGTCACCACAGAAACGTTCACGTCGCCCTTTGTCAGAAACTCGACAGGTAAGTGATGAGTCTAGCTCACCCGATTTGGGTCCTAGTGATATTTTTGCGGTTTTCCAGGCAGAAGAAGCGTTTCGGCGGTGAACGAAAGGCGGGCCTCCTCAGCCAACACCTCCCCCACCAAAAGCCGGCTTCGTCAGGAGCTCATGCAGGCTGTCAAACACGCCGATGACGACGCCACCATAGCGCAGCAGGTGCAGGAGTTGTTGAGGAAATACGGCAGCCTGAACACGCTCAACGTTGAAGTGGAACAACAGCCCAGCAGGTTTACGAGGAACACTGGGGACAGGATGTCCTACAGGAGTCCCAGGAAGGACTCCAGGCCAGAAAACAACATCTCTAGAATACCAGCGCCTCTGTCTTACCTCAAGGCTTGAGTTTTTCGAGGAACCCGTTCAGGAATGGGGGAAACAACGAAGGAATGTCGTTTGGTGTGTCCGTAAAGAAGTGTACAACGATTACGGAAGCGTAGTGTTAATTTAAAAATAATTTACGGTGCTGGAAACGACATTGCTTTGTTGGTGTTTTGGAGAGAACAAACTTAGGCGTCGTGAGTACTTACCATTCCTGAGCGTCGATGTGGATCGGTGCTATTTTATTTGTTCGTTGAGACAAACTAGAGTAGGCGTAGCAATAAATACAAAATTATCGAAAGTCAGGGTATTTTTCGACCGTAGACAGAGTAGTGGTAGCGTTTTTATCCAATTTTTTAAATGAAAACAAAGCCTTTGACCAGTGCACTATTAAAGAAACACCAGCCGATCGCTTACCTTACAAATTATTTGCTGTCGACGTTTAAGAAGTAGCATTGCTTTGAATGTCGTCCATTACCCAATATTTTACGTGTTACGGGTGAATCTACCAAGTACATAAGTTGTGAAATTAATTTTTATTAATTTTCTTACCATTTAGGGTGCTACCTGTTATACTTATTATGATATTAATCGTATTGGTAGGTTTTATTTGCCGATATGTTAGAGTAGCTATTTTGTAGCTTTAAATTATGTGTATATATTGTGATTGTTTGGTATTTTGACTAAATTGTTTACGAGACGTTTTTTATTGAGCAATTTTAGGCGTACGTTTTTTTATTAGATCTTTATTTGTACCGGAGCAGAGCCAAGGAAAACTGGAACGGACATTCCATTATAAAAAAAAATCAAAACCATAAAAAGTGTAGCGTTTTAGTGATTTTTACTACTTAAGAAATAATACCTTATTAATTTTCTTTATAAGAATGTTTTTTAAGTACTTTTCGGTTTTTAGAGAAATCTGCATGGTAGTTTTATATTGTTATGAATTTCTTTTAAAATTCTTGTAGTTTTAGCATATCCTACAAGGACTTAACCAAACCATACCTTTTTTCATCGATATTTATTAATTTTACTATTTTTCAATAAAACTAATTCACAAAAGTGTTCTTTTATTGCCCACCCACACACAACTTTTTTTTCATCCATATTCACAAAAATTTTTCCTATTTTTTAAATAAAACTGATACACTAGAGGCGCCACTGTTACCAATACCGCGAAATTCAAATCGTAGGGCAGCAAAACCATAAAAAGTGTAATTTTTTAGTGATTTTTACTACTTAAGGAAATAATATCTTATTATTTCTTTTTATAAAAATGTTTTTTTTTAGTATCTTTCGGTTTTTAGAGAAATCTGCATGGTAGTTTTATATTGTTATGGATTTCTTTTAAAATTCTTGTAGCTGTAACATATCTTTGAAGAACTTAACCAAACCATATCTTTTTTCATCGATATTTATTAATTTTACTATTTTTCAATAAAACTAATTCACAAAAGTGTTCTTTTATTACCCACCCACACACAACTTTTTTTTCATCCATATTCACAAAAATTTTTCCTATTTTTTAAATAAAACTGATACACTAGAGGCGCCACTGTTACCAATACCGCGAAATTCAAATCGTAGGGCAGCAAAACCATAAAAAGTGTGGTTTTTTAGTGATTTTTACTACTTAAGGAAATAATATCTTATTATTTTTCTTTATAAAAATGTTTTTTTTTTAGTATCTTTCTGTTTTTAGACAAATCTGCATGGTAGTTTTATATTGTTATGGATTTCTTTTAAAATTCTTGTAGCTGTAAAATATCTTTGAAGAACTTAACAAAACCATGTATTTTTTCGTTGATATTAAGTAATTTTACAATTTTTCAATAAAACTGATTCACAAAAGTGTTCTTTTATAACCCAGTCATAAAACAATAACTCTTTTTTCATCACCAATTTTAACTTTAGGTACTGTATTTTAATAAAACTAATACACAACTATATTCTTTTGTTCGAAATCCCCAAGATGACATCACAACATTTACAAATAGTTTCCTACTTTACCCACACACAACAGCTTACTGCCGTCACAAACATAAATAAATGCGCGAAATTTAAAATCGTTTCATTTACTACAAACTAAAACAGGATACGAGGAAACTATAATAAAAACATGTTCTCACCTAGGCACTGCTGCCATCTATGCCATTTCTGTAGAATTATAAATTTCCTGACGGCAAATTTCTAATTTATCATTTTAGTGTAGCTCTCCCTCTATACAAATGAAAGTCCTATGAACAATAAATGCCTTAGAAATTCTGCAAAATACCTCAAACTCATTCACGTTGCTGTTAATTTAGTTTTTGGTTCGTTTGGTTACCGCTAGAGGCGCCACTGCTACAATTACCGCGAAATACGAATCGTAGAACGCTGTTTCGGCATTTGACAGGTACTCTTATGAGTCAAGTCAAGAAAATGTGAAGTATGACACCTGAATTTACTTTTTACGGCTTGGATTTCTCGGAATTGGTGCTTTTCGGGATTCTATTCTACCTAGCGGCCTTAATATTAGGTAATAAATAACTGTTTTTAGTTGTAATTAGTCAGTCAGTTAATTGATGAATCAGTATTTTTTCAAACAAAATCGTACTTGCTTTATATAAGTATAGTATCTTGGGAATACATGTTTCGTTCTTACGAACTGACTTTCTTTTGAGGTTAATCCCTACAAAAAGTTCGGTTAAATATTGTTTTTGTACTATATTTATTAGCATGAACAAAACAACAGTATGTACCACTTCAAGACTAATTAATTTTGATCAAATTCTAGTTGTTATTCTTGTGCGCTGCGCCCTCTACAGAATGTTCTGCCCTTTCTCCGGCGATTGCGTCCACTGTACATACTTCAACTGCTGCTGCGCCTGCCCCAATTGTTCGATGAGGCAGTCTGCTACAAGCATCTTATGTTGCAAGAGGAACCACTCAGTCTATGTAAGAGTTTTCTGTTGACTGGTGAGTTTCAAAATTTGGGAAGTCTTAGTAGATCGCCCCCGCCTCACACAAATGTAGCGGGAGAGGCTGCTACAAAATGTTGACATTTGAAGTGATACCGCTTCTGTGTGTTTTAGAAACTAGGAGGCTGCGACGTAATTCCAAGTTGTAGGTTCAACTGTTTCAAACCAGACTGTAACTATTTGAGGTGTTGCTGTTGCGAATTTTTCGTACAAGAAGAAAAATTGTCTCAGCAGAAGCCAAATAAAGTTATAGATATTTAATGTTTCATTTTTACAGAAATAAATGAATGTAAATAAATGATAATAAATAAAAAAAGTGTTCATCTTCGCTCTAGAGACACCATGTGTCCATTTTTGGGTGTTACTACCAATTTAGTCTTCAGCTCGATATCTTGGACACTCTTATAAGACGTGGTGACCTTGAATTTTCTCAACAGCGTCGCCAGAAGCGTTTTCATAGACATCATAGCGTATTTGAAACCTTTAACAAGGACATAAGCATAGTTTAACGTGCCTGACGTAGCTATGCAATTCCTAGAGACGTAAGAGAAGGATAAATAGGTGGAGGGGTGTCTTTTGGCGACCTGTTCTGGTAGGTATCGATCAAGATCGAAATTGAAGGGTTCCAGTCAATATTTCTCATTGGTGTGTATTCTTAGAATAATTCCAAAAATCACAAATTTCAAACGATTATATTAAGTGAACTGTGATAAAAAATACATTGGCAATTTTATGGACTTAAGTCCAAGAAGTTTGGTTTGGTGGATCATGGAAAGTTAGGTGACAATATTTGACGAGCCACTTGCAACTAGTACAGATAAATTCGACGCAATCGGGTAAATGGAGCATTTCGCAGGGTGTACCATAAGGATCTATTTTGGGGCCTTTATTATTTCTGGTTTTTATAAACGACGATGATACTCTTTTAAATGTGAAGGATGACATACCTACTTCGATTGCTGATACTAGGGTTAACCTATTTTCAACTTGATTTAAGGGTAATTAATATTTACTGAATCATCAAAAAACAGTATTCATAAACTTCAACCAAGGTTAGAAGATAATGATATAAATTATTTAAATCATCTCTTCAAAATTTAATTAAACAATTATCCGTAATAATAATCTTAATGAAATGGAATATAAATTCAATAACACCATTTTTTTTGGAAGTAATAATACAGACTACAACAATGCATAAGTACCTAATTATAATAATTTAATACTTATTTATAATAACAAAATTTGGTGCGTACATAATTTGTTATTTGAAAAAAGCGTTATCACAATGATGTACTAAATTATTTCCAATATAAAGTAAGTTAATTACCTTTTGAAACTTTGTATTTGGTACAATGATGATTTTATTTATTTGGTAAAAGCTTCAATTAAATTTATTTTATAACAACAAACTATCTTAACTTTAAAGACACTTTGTTTCCATGTTTAGGTCTCATGACCATATTAACCTTCAATTCAACATCTTTGACATACTTGTAGGACATGCCGACTTTGAAGTTTCTCACCACCGTAAACAATCACTGCTTCAGCAAAGTTATTTCATAGTCATTCACGTTATCAGCTATCAATTTTGACATTAACACTAAAATTAACAGCGCCTTCAAATCAACAACTGGAAAATGCTGCCTCACAAAATTTTAATTCAATCAACAACCAAGTTTATTATATTACGACAATGCAAACATGAAAACAAGACTATCTTAATTCTAAGGACAGTTTGTATCCATGTGTGGGCCTCATGACCATATTAACCTTCAATTCAATATCCTGGACGCTCCTGTAGGAAATGCTGACCTTGAATTTTCGCAATACTGTTGCCAGAAGCGTTTTCATGACCATCATAGCGTACTTGAGTCCTATAACAAATCCATAATTATCGTTTGGTGCACTTCAAGGTGTCCTTACACACCTATACAGTTCCTGGGACCATAGGAGAAAGGCAAATAGGCGCAAGTTGCCTTTTCTCGACTTCTTCGGGCAGAAATCGGTCTGGATCGAACTTGAACGGATCTGGCCAGAATCTTTCGTGATCTCCTGAAAAGTTTTGACATTATTCAAGAATCTCATTTAATAATAATTTTAACTTGTTACCGAGATCGACATCTTCGTCGATTGCCCTGAGAATAAAACTTGTCACGGGAAATAGCCTGAGGGTTTCTTTAAGGAATCTGTCTATGTACTGGAGTTTGGGCAGGTCTTCCTTTTCAACAGGTCTATTTGGACCTACCACTCCCATTATTTCTTCATATGCCTTTTCCTTCGACAATATATAAAGTAAATTAGAAATTCCTACAGTTTTTTAACTTACCTGGAGCTCTTTGTGAAGTCCGAAGAGCGAATGAAATTGAAGATGCTGTTGTGTCGGAACCCTAAGGAAAGGGGTGATAGTTTTTTATACCAACCTGTGGGAACTCATCAGCTTACTTACAGTTATTATAAAAGTATCAACCTCATCTCTCAATTCCTGTTCAGTGAACTGGTTCCCATCAGTAGCAATTTCCATTAAATAATCCAAGAATACTTTCCTCTTCCGTTCTTCAACAAAATCTTCAGCGTCTTTGTGTTGTGTCCTGGCTTTGTCGAGCAGTCGTTTCTTTTCTTGAATCACCTTCAAACAAAAACGTAGGTCTTTGTCTTTCAACACCTCAGAATAATAGCTTATCATCCCCTCTTATACCCATGCACCCATAGAGTACAATTTTCCCTGGTAAATCACGTGCCTACCACAAATGGTGTCAACTGTGCACATCGCTATGACTTCGAAGACATCGAATTCCCCTTTTCCTGCAAACTTCTCCATTTGCCCCACCAATATTTGGGACTGCTCAGAGAAGATCTCCACGAACCCATCTAGGATTTTCTGGTTGAAAGTCGGCATTATGATCTTCCTATGCTTCTTCCACTTTTCCACTACAAAGAAAGGATTGGTTAGCTACAAGGTGTACCTCAATGCACGCCTTTGGGACTGATGAAGGGCTACTTACGCGGAGCAGTGACCAGTCCGTGACCTACAGCTGGTTCGGCGAAACAGTACCACTTCTCCTTGCTTAAACAATGCGGTAGCAGTATTTCGTGGTGTTTAGGTTCACATGTAACAAGGAACAATCTGGGGCCGAACCAGACTCGAAATATGCCTGGATACTCGTTGCACGTCTTCATTAGGACGGGGAATATATCTAGAAGCAAAGGTAATAACACAGGGAGTTTGTTAAAGACGCTAATTTTATATAACGTAAACTATTTTTTTCTTACTATGAGGATTTGTCATGAAACGTAAAGCACATCCTATCAAAGGCAGAGCAAATGGCCCCGGTAATTTTCTGGAGCAATGGTAGAGCTTCCTTCTGCTCCATAGAAAATGCAAGAACCAGGTCAATAGGATACAGATCAAGGCCACCAGCATTTTTTCCTAGATATAAAATAACATCAAGTGAGCAGAATATTATTAGTCCAGTCACTGTAGCATTTTGGCTACCAATTAAATAGCAAAGAGATTGCTTTTTTTAATTTTTGTAGATGGTATAGAACCCGAGTTATGACTCCCAGAAGTTGAAGTCAATTTCGAAGATAGCTATAATCGAAACGTTCAACGTCCTGTAGCGGAAAAATTAAAGGTTTTTCGAGGAAAACTTATATAATACCTATTAAAGTTCTTGAAAAGACCTTTAAAATGAGTGGTGATAGAAGTCGTTAGCCTGAAAACTAATGAAGTTACAATTAAAATAAAATGATTGTCTTGATTTTTGAGAAAAAATAAATCGGTATTAAAATTAATGACTTGACGGAAAAAAATTAAACGTATTCCTTCTGCAATTTACTTTATTTATGCATTAACAGTAGATCCTGGGAATTTGAACGATTTGGAAGCCTAAATTAAAAAAAAAATCATTTACTTTGGAATAAAATTTTTAAATTTTTAAAAAACTTTTTTTTTTCAAAATATTTCAAAAACTAACAAAGTTATAAAAAAATTATAGAATAAGAGATTGTAGGCTTTTTTTTACTGAACAATTTGCTTTTTTTTAATTTTTGTACGACAAAATTTGACTGAGTTATCACCGTTAGAAGCTCAAAACTAAGCTGCCTTTCCTGAGCCCTTTTAGCTTACAAATCTAAAAAACGAAGGACTCAAAAAAACTGCAAATCACTGCACTGCACTTGTGAACTGATTTGAGTAAGTATATTAATAATATACATACACACACGTATTCATTTATAATGTACATAAAAAAAAAATTATTTGATATTAATTTAATAAAAATATATTAAGAATAAATTTTTTATGAAATGTAGGGTAAAAAAACTGACTGTGATACTGCTGCTTTTTTATTAATACAATACACAGCCAACTAGTGCTCGTCTGAAGATGTATCGAATTCGATGAAACTTAGTGATAAGACACTTTAAGAGATGCTGAATGAGAATACGTAATCGGTTTTTTGGAAAAAAAATCGTTAATACCAGTTAGCTGTTTTGACGTCAAAAAAACGCGTCCTAGTTGACCGTGAATTGCATTAATAAAAACAGAAGCATTACAGTTAGATAGAGTATTTTTATACCACATTCTAAAAAAAAAAAAATGTTGAAATCGGTCAAAAAACATAGCTACAGGCTTTTATCACATTTAAGCGTGACACCCTGTATGTATATAACTGGCAGTTACAAAACCATTTAAGGCTTTGGATATTATTAGTAGACCGCACCCGAAAATATAGCGGGGGTTGTATTTTGGAATACCAGTAAAATACAACACTGCAATGTATCTCTTATGATGATGCGCCAGCAGATAAATATTATTTTAGGCTGCGTATATACCAATATTTATTAGGACGAAAAAACTAGGTTCGTACCTAATTTGCTATATGAAAAACTCGTTTTCGGAATGTTATACTAAATTATTCCAAAATAAAAGTAGTTAATTACGTTTTGATGATGATTTTATCTATTTGATATTTAGATACATGCTTGTTTAAAACTAGTTTTATTGCGTACACCTTGACATCGACAATGAAATATTCAAAATTTTTAAGAGTATTATAGCAATGAATTGTCTTAACTCATTACGATGTTAACCTTCAACTCGACACTCTTGTAGGAAGTGTCGAACTTGAATTTTCTAGTCACCGTCGCCAGAAGCGTCTTCATGGCCATCATAGCACTCCTAAAACAAAACCATTCTTTTTATATCATTATTGGTATACCTCAAGGTATGCTTACATACCTATGCAATTCCTAGGACCGTAGGAGAAGGGCAGATAGGCGCAAGGGTGTCTTTTCTCGACTTCTTCGGACACAAATCTGTCTGGATCGAATTTAAACGGATCTGGCCAGAATCTTTCTTTGGTGTGGGAATCTTCTCTTGGAATCACTTGGTCCCCTGAAAAGTGTTGGCATTATCGAAGAATCCCAGCAATTTTAAGTTCTTACCGAGATCGACATCTTTGTATATGGCTCTGAGAAGAAAACTTGTAATGGGAATAGCCTAAGGGTTTCTTTAACGAATCTCTCTATGTACTGGAGTTTATGCAGATCATCCTTTTCCACTGCCCTACTTGGACCTATCACTTCAATAATTTCTTCATACAATTTTTCCTTGAACAGGGTGTGGCGTGTATAATCTATAAAAATTAAACTACAGCTTCCTGATAATATTTGTAATAGAAAAGTCTTATATGAAAAAGTTCTATCTTCGCGTTTTTTTTTTGTAAATTAAAATTCATTCAACGAAAATGAAGGCCGAAACTGTGTTACTTATTAAAAACTTAAGAAATGTTTTTATGCGACCCGAGATGCAACCTTATAATTTAAGTCGGTATAATCTAATACAACTAATACTAAAAAAAAGGTTAGGATACATTGTCAAAAAATTTGTGCAGTTAACTGATTTTGTATTTGTATTGACTTCATTATTCACTTAATTATTAAATATTAAGCATCATCCATCGACCCATCAGTGTTAAAAAGTGAAAGATTCCAGACAAAAGTTTTTATTTTCTAATTCCACTATAGTGACAGTGTAATTTTTATAAAGAAGTAAAAAATAAGAATAGTCTGCCGATTGCATTAAAAACGAGATTATTATTTCTTACTTTGCTTAATTTTTTAGTTTGTGCACAAACTAGTTTTACAATGAACCGAGAAAACAATGCATGTACTAGTGAATATGTGTATATTTAAACTCAGTTTTTTTTTCATTGCTGTGTTGAAAGATAAAAACCTGTACTTACCCCAACCGTATCAGTCCTTGTTACAATCGCAAAATGGCGTAAATATATCGATCGGTAATCGTTTAACTTTTTATTACATCAGACTACTTGGAGTGGCAAAACAAGTGTGTTTCTTGGATATTAGGACAGTCGCATTTTTAGCGTTTAATTTTCTTTAATGCGATGCATATCCAAAATATTACATTGTAGCAGTGGCGTGCCCAGGAAGGAGGGTCAGAAGACTATATTAGAATATTAATTAATATGTGTCAATGTTAATGTTAATATTAACAAATATACGGATTGATAAAACAACACTTTTTAAGTAAATTTCTAAACCTTTTGTTAAAAATTAAAAGTTCGCTAGAAATCTTCGTAATTTTTTTTTTACATAACAATCTCTCAAGATCTTAATTGTAATAACAAAAGAAATGTAAACCAGCAAATCCAGATGAGCGGAAATCATAAAACGCATATAGCATAAAACAAATTTATGATACATTTTCATATTTCCCACATTGTTCGCACATTTGCATAAAAACTACCTTTAGTATTAACAAAAAAATTACTTCCAATTTGCCTTGAAATTAAAGATTATTTTACTGTAATCATACAAGTATAAACATATAATTATCTGAACTCTAAAGACACCTTGTATCCATCTCTCGGTCTCAGGAGTACATGAGCCATCAACTTGATATCCTGGACACTCCTCTAGGACGTGCCGACTTTGTATTTTCTCAGAACCGTCGTCAGAAGTGTCTTCATGGACATCATAGCGTATTTCATCCCTGCAAAGGCATATCTGACTTAAAATCACCGTTTTGTGTGCCTCAAGGTATTCTTACATACCTAGACAGTTCCTAGGGCCGTATAAGAAGGGTATATATGCACAAGGATGTCTTTTAGCAATCAATAGAAAGTGATAAATAGCAACATAAGTAAGTATCTTCTTATTTGATCATCATAAAGAATTCGGCCGATGATTATTTTTTCGTTTTCACATATACTTTTTGGTGAAATAAAAGAATCTGTAGCCGCAGTTCAAAAACATGCTCAAATATGCAAGAAAAAAAATAAAAATTGACTTGCAACAATGAATTTTTCAGTAATTACATTTTCATGATGAGTTTATTTATATTTATTTGATATTTGATACATGTTTATTTAATAGTCCTGGCGCATTAGGTTTTTTTTTCAAAGGGCAGGTTTTTGCGAAAGCTCGTAATTTTTTTTTACATTGCAAAATTAGCGGTGAAAAAAAAAAGTGCAAAATTTTCACCATTAAATAAATAGAAGGAATTTGACTGAAATTGGATGAAACTACAGGAAAAGATAAGTGTTGGGGTGCCCAATAAATACCCGCAGTCCGGACCGCCAATTTCAAAATGGCGGCCTACTGCAAAATTATAAAGTCGAAAATGCGAGCGCGTATAACTTCTGCCCAAGTGAAGATATCGAAATTCAGGAAAAACGGAGCGAAAGGTAATTACATTGTCTCACATTTGCGTTAATTTCATATTTTTAAGATGCAAAGTAAGTAAGTTAATAACAAAAAAAAACAAAAAAAACGGTAACTAGGGTCCTTATCTCGGCGGTTTTTTAATATACAGGGTGTATCTAAATAACACCGAAAAAATTCAAGGGGCGATTCTCCGATGAAAATTAATAGGGGTCTTTGGTATAAAATTTTTTGAAAAAACCCTTCCCTGAAAAGTTACGCCCCTCCTAAAATTACAAAAAAAAATTGTTTTTCTTTTTTATCTTCCACGTACATCAAGCTAAAGAAACCAAACTTGGTGAACATTATCTGTCAATAAAACTACACTTTTTGAATTTTTTTCAACCCTGAACTATTTTTGTAAGGGGTTGAAATAATCAACCCCTATGACATTTTTTCTTATAATTTTTTTTTCGATAAAATTTTTTCCTTTTAAAAAATATGTCTAAAAAACCCCATTCATTTACTAACTTTTTGATCTCTTCAAGTTTCTTCGAAAAGTTAAGGATTTATGACAAAAAAAAATAAATGTATTGTAATGTATTTTTAAAAAGATGAGCTGTTTAACGCGAGTGTATTTTGCCGAAAGATCTAGTGGCCTGTTCTTTACAATGGAATCCGTAGAAACAAATGTCAATGTCATTTATTGTCATATTAAATAACATTTTATTAAAAAACACTCAACCAAATAGTTGACCTATGATTCTACTAGGCTAAGAAGTTTGGAACTTAGACTAAAAGTGAACAAATGATGAATAATGTTATAACAGTAACAAAAAATAAAAATCTGTCGGATATTGACAATACAATCTACAAAAAATGTTGAAAATGATTGCCTTCAGCTTCAATACAAGCATCTACTCTTGTTCTCATAGAATTGCGTATGCGTTCAAATATTCCTGGTGAATTTTTTATCGTTTCACACCCTGCTACAATGCGGTTTCGCAAATCATTGATATCTTCAACTGGCCTTGAGTAGATCAAAGATTTCAGATATCCCCATATGCAAAAATCCAAAGGATTAAGGTCAGGGGAGCGGGCTGGCCAATTTACATATCCTCCTCGACCTATCCATCGATTGGCATACACCTCATCCAAGTGACGTCTTGCACGTATACTAAAGTGGGCTGGTGCACCGTCGTGCATAAACCATAAACGTTGCCTAATTTGAATGGGAACTTCTTCAAGAATAATAGGTAATTCTTCGAGAAGATGACAATATGAGTCACCATCTAATCGTCGTGGAAGAAAATAGGGACCAATTAAATGATCGTCGATAATTCCGAGCCACACATTTAATGAAAATTGATACTGATGATTTCCTTCAAAAAAGTCATGAGGATTTTCCTCAGCCCAAATATGATTGTTACGAAAATTTCTAATACAGTCTCTTGAGAAATTCGCCTCGTCAGTAAATAAAATATTTCTTAAGAACTGCGGCGCTTGGCCGATCATATTAATAAGCCATTGACAAAAAACCACACGTGGTAAAAAATCTCGAATCAGTAACGACTGCACCCGTTGGAGATGATAGGGATATAACTGTTGTTCTTTTAAAATTCTAAAAACTACCGAATGGCTTACATTTAGGACACGAGCTATTTTCCTGGTACTAGTTTCTGGGGATTCCTCAATTAAATTAAGTACGGCTTCATCGACAGCTTCAGTTCTAACTTCTCGGCTACGGCCACAGTCATGACTTCTCTTTTCAAATTTTCCAAGTTCCCGCAAGCGTTGGTGAATATTTGTGAACGTAGTATGGTGGGGTAATCTACGCTCTGGGTACTGTTCAGCATAAAGTCTTTGCGCTTCCAATGCATTACCGTTAGCATACCCATATGTAAAATGCATATCTGCCATTTCTAAATTCGAATAGTTAACCATATTTTCGGTTTATTAACTAATATTTTCTACACAAAATCATGAAACTTGTGAAATAGTAAGAAACAGTAACAATAAATGACATTGACATTTGTTTCTACGGATTCCATTGTAAAGAACAGGCCACTAGATCTTTCGGCAAAATACACTCGCGTTAAACAGCTCATCTTTTTAAAAATACATTACAATACATTTTTTTTTTTTTGTCATAAATCCTTAACTTTTCGAAGAAACTTGAAGAGATCAAAAAGTTAGTAAATGAATGGGGTTTTTTAGACATATTTTTTAAAAGGAAAAAATTTTATCGAAAAAAAAATTATAAGAAAAAATGTCATAGGGGTTGATTATTTCAACCCCTTACAAAAATAGTTCAGGGTTGAAAAAAATTCAAAAAGTGTAGTTTTATTGACAGATAATGTTCACCAAGTTTGGTTTCTTTAGCTTGATGTACGTGGAAGATAAAAAAGAAAAACAATTTTTTTTTGTAATTTTAGGAGGGGCGTAACTTTTCAGGGGAGGGTTTTTTCAAAAAATTTTATACCAAAGACCCCTATTAATTTTCATCGGAGAATCGCCCCTTGAATTTTTTCGGTGTTATTTAGATACACCCTGTATATATTTCAAACCAATTACATCAAATAGTGCTTTAAAAAACATGAATTTAAAAAAAGGCGTCTCGATCCGACCAACAGGAGCCGAGATAATTTTTTTTCTTAACAACGGTATTCTGGCTGTTCTATTTAGTATACTTAGGTATTGTAATGAACTTGGGCTCGTTATAAAATAGAAGACTTCCTTTATACGCCGAATTTTTTTTATTGAATTCGACAAAGAAATTACCAAATAAGCGTGCGTTAAAGACAGCGAGATCAGCGCGGCAGAGCTGTAACCAGGAGAGGAAAGCACTGTGACGTCATATTGCCCATGCTGCGCTCACCTTCTCAAAATTCTGACTTAAATGGATTGTTGCACTTGGAAAGCAGCTACCGGGACACTTTTTTTCAAAATCAACTTATTTTTTTCCGCCCTCTCAAATATGGTGTAAGCAAAAGTCTGTGAAAGTTAATGTAATTTCATTCTGCTTTCGATATTTTGAAAAGTAAGAAGGTCTTTTTACGTTTTTAAAAACAAAAGTCAATTATTTCTTTGAAAAAAATGATCAGTGTTCTATTTATCGTGCTCAGAAGAGGTCGACATATAAAATATTGTCTTAAAATTACTGGTTACAGTTATTGCGTAAATTGTGTCTAGAATATTATTGAATGTTACAATATCAACATTACTTTTACATTTTGTAGTATTTAAAAGAACTGTTATATTCAATTCTTTAAAAAATTTTATTGCTAGCGAAAGTTGTTTTTTTTTAAATATTTTTATAAGAATATTAAAAGCAAAATAAATATTTCAGGTATAATATATTTTAGATTTGGGTGAATTTTGCCATTTTGCCACATTCAAATCACGTGCTCTTACAACTAAACCATTAACTTGAAAAATAAACCCCTCGACCTTGATAATAAAGTTTATTATATAGCAATGAATTATCTTGGCTCCAGAGACAGCTTATATCCATCTTTAGGTCTCATTACGGTATTAAACTTCAACTCGATCTCCTTGACACTCTTATAGGACGTGTCGAACTTGAATTTCCTCATCACCGTCGCCAGAAGTGTCTTCATGGACATCATGGCGTACTTCATTCCTAAAACAAGGCCACATTATTTTAATATCATTATTAGTGTACCTCAAGGTATGCTTACATACCTATGCAGTTCCTACGACCGTAGGAAAAGGGTATATAGGCGCAAGGGTGTCTTTTCTCGACTTCTTCCGGTAGAAATCGGTCCGGATCGAACTTGAACGGATCTGGCCAGAATCTTTTGTTGGTGTGGGTGCTGAGAATCATAAAAACCACCGAAACTCCTCCTGGAATCACTTGGTCCCCTGAAAAGTTTTGGCGTTATTAAAGAATTTCAGCAATTTTACGTTGTTACCGAGATCGACTTCTTCTTCAGTGGCCCTGGCAATAAAACCTGCCACCGGGAATAGCCTGAGGGTTTCTTTAATGAATCTGTCCATGTGACAGAGTTTGGGCAGATCATCCTTTTCCACAGTCCTTTTTGGACCTACCACTTCAATAATTTCTTCATACACTTTTTCCTTGAACGGATAAGGTATATAAGAAATGCTCAGAAGTTTTATAGCTTACCTGCAGTTCTTTGTGAAGTCCGAGCATGATCAGAACGAACGCAATTGTCGACGCTGTTGTGTCGGAACCCTGAGAAAAGATGTAGTAGTTTCTTATATCAACAAATCATCAGCTACTTACAGTTATTACGAAAGTGTTAACCTCATCTCTCAATTCTTGCTCAGTGAACTGGTTCCCATCGGCAGTAATTTCCAATAAATAATCTAAAAATACTTTCCCCTTGCGTTCTTCGACAAAATCTTCAGAGTCTTTGCGTTGCTTTCTGGCTTTGTCGAGCAATTGTTTCTTCTCCTTGATCACCTACAAACGAAAATATGTGACCTTGTTCTTCAATACCTCTAAATAGTAGCTTATCACCCCTTCGTATAATCTATAACATTTAGGTTATTAAGGACATGCAATAAGTTGTGCAAAATTTATTAAAAGTGTGATGCTCACCGAACCAGAAAAATCATGGAAATTTTTTAGAGCAGCTCGATCGCCCTTCGACCTGGCTGCCAGATTGAAAATGGCGTCGAAATGGTAATGAAACACAAACATTCGAACAAACATGTTTTCCAACACCCTAGAATGTCGTAAATGTCGAAATATGTTATAGAACAATAACAAAGTTGAAATTACAAGCCTTTACCTGTCGATCCATTTCGAAACAGGCCTATCATCAGTTGTCTGATTGCTGACCTTCACCCCCATAGCAGTTTCTGAAAAAAAAAAATAATAATATTAACAAATATAAATTTTCCTTACAAATATCATGCCCACCACAGATAATGTCAACTGTGCACTTCGTTATCAATTCTTCGAAGACATCGAATTCCCCTTTTCCCGCAAACTTTTCCATTTGCTCCACCAAAATTTGCGACTGCTCAGAGAAGATCTCCACGAACCCATCTAGGATTTTCTGGTTAAAAGTCGGCATTATGATCTTCCTATGCTTCTTCCACGTTTTTACTACAAAGGGAATATTGGTTAGTACCGGGTGGTTCAAATTCGACGGTTTTCAAGGGTTACTGCGAATCCAGAGCTCTTTGTTCGAGAAAATAACAATGGCACAAACCGCATCTCCCTATCTGTTGCCGTTTTCGAGCTACAAGGGGTTTGTCAAGAGTCAAGGTTTTTATTAAACCGACTGCTCTTTCCTCGTTTCCTTTTCGAGATATCTTAAAACGGTTTGAACTTTCTACAGGCACTTTTTTCAAATTATCCGATTTTTTTCTTCTTCTGAAATCTATCGTCGAACCGAGCGGATCGTATTTCGCGACACCCATCCATTTTTATCGTGGATAAATACTGCAAATTTTCAAACTGGTATGTAAATGTGGTTTCTTTCCTTTTAATTAACTATTTTGTATTTGCCTTGCTTTTCAATATTTTGCTAACGCTTGTAATTTTGGTTATTTAATTTACGTCCACTTTGACCTCCATTTTGGTCAAAGGCACGTGGCGAATCATAACCACGAGGTGGCTTGGCTTGCTTATCTCTTCGTTTAGTGACGTTTATTTGATCGGGACATCGCCTGATTTGGACGACTGCACAAGGGGTTATTGAACTTTCAGATTTCTTCGCAGACTGACAGAGCTTTCTCTGGGCCCCTGGAAAATTACATAGTCTGGATCGGAAATGGTTGGCTCACGATTCCAAGGAATCGATTGAGATTTGTTTCTTTTATCGTTCTTGTATAATAAAGGCAGCTTACTTCATCAGTCCTTGTGACCACCAAATTTAGCCTTTTTTGTAGTCATATAAATGTCTGGGATGTAAACTGCACTAAACGTATTTTATCTTATCTTTCTGGTTTTTCTAATTCAAGCTGTAGCAAAATTTTATCTTACATATTCTACCTTCATATCTTTTTATTATACCACATTTTCATACACACCATTTCGAAAAGGTCAGATAAAAAACTAATTCCTATTTTTCTATTACACAGGGTGTTTTTATTTTAATTTTGCTTGAAATTTCGATATCTACTATACGATCTGATTGTTTTCGAATTATCTTTTGTATCTATTTTTTTTTAGTAAATTATTGTTAACCATTTTGATATGTAAATTTAATTTTTTACATAGTTGAAAGATTTTGAATTAATTATTACACAGATCCTCAAATTTTGTAAATTTTTTCTCATTAGTTTAAATTTAATTAAATTCTCACCATCCTTAGTTTAGATTTCATCGTACTAGTAGTTTATAATAGTCTTAAATTAATTAACTTTAACATTAATTGTAAATATTAAATTTAAGGAATTTTATATATTAAATTTTATTTCATAATCTCCGACAACCAGACTAAGTATTATCGAACATTCGTCCGTTGTAAATATCCTACTTGCTTCTATTAGCTGGATGCATCTTTTTTAGTGTACTTGGGTTTTGTAAACAATTATCCCAAAGAGTTATTAGTCCACGTGGATAAACAATAAATAACGTTACAACCAATAAAAACAAATGGCTTCTTAAAGGTACGGTAGCCGCGTATTTGCGTAAACTTTGGAAATGAAATGCAGGTATGCGACACTTTTATTACCGGTACTTTATGATCTTCTGGATATCGATGCGACGGGTGCAGAGCATATGATATGCACGTGCACCATTCCGCGGTTCCCCATGCATTCATGTTTATCGTACATATCATTCAACTTTATACATTATATTTATATTCCGGTTATTATGTTAACTATATTAATGAGATTTTATGAATAAATTATGTTTTTCTACAAATTGTCGCATTATTTTTTGTATAGATTTGCGGGAAATATGAAATTTTCAAAATACCAACGATATTTAAGTTTTCTGACTGAGAAGGCTTTGAAAGCAAATAAGTTGACGTTTGACATTATTAGAAGCTTGTTAACACAAATGGTGTTTTCAAACCCTTCTCAGTGAGGAAACTTAAAATGTTGTTGGTATTTTGAAAATTTTATATTTTCCCCAAATCTGCACAAATAATAATAAGTACAAGGTGTGCCTCAAAACACGTCTCTGAGGTACCGATGAAGAGGTACTTACAGGGAGCATTGAACAGCCCATGACCTACGGCTTGTTCACCGAAGTTATACCATTTGTCCTTGCTCAAACAATGCGCTAGCAGTATTTCGTAGTGTTTAGGTTCACTTGTAACAAGGAACAACCTAGGGCCGAACCAGACTCGAAATATGCCTGAATATTCGTCGCACAACTTCATTGCGAAGGGGAATAAACCTAGAAATAACGGTGACATAGAGAGTTTGTTATACAGGGTGTGGCGTGTATAATCTATAAAAAATTAAACTACAATTTCCTAAAGACATTTGTAATAGAAAAGTCTTACCTGAAAAAGTTCTATTTTTGCGGTTTTTTTTTTGTAAATTAAAGTTATGGATCAAAATATTTTCGCTGATGGTGTAAAAAAATATATACATTACTATGGTAAGTTTTCTCAGGAAATGCAAAGAAACGAACTAGAATCCGAAAATTTGTTTCTAATCATTATGTACAATTTTGAGCTATTTATTAAAATTTACACTAATTACTCGAAAAACGTAAGATTCCATGTTACATTGATAAACAAAAAAATTACAAGTCGAAATATACTATTATAATTAACAACCAAATAAGTTAATAAAGTTAATATTTAATAAGACATCTACAATATTTTGAGAAAGTTGTAGAATCTTCTTTCGTTTCTTTGCATTTCCTGAGAAAACTTACCATAGTAATGTATATATTTTTTTACACCATCAGAAAGTAGAGATTTCAACGAAGAAAAAGCCCACCGACGTTTTTAAAAAAGCAGATATTTTGACGTGAGAATTTTCGATTGAAAATTAGGGTGCTTTTTCGATATTAAGTAAAAATAAGGTGAAAAAATAAATATTTCAAATCAAAAAAATTACAGCGTGTTTGGGACATAAATAGGTAAGTTTTCACCAAATTTCGTGAAAAAAAAATTTTTTTGTAAAAGATAAAAATAAAAAACCAAAAACTTGGTTATTTGAATTTTTCACATAAATTTTGAGGTTATGTGAAAAAAGTGCAAATACAAAACTTGTAGATCTTTTTATTACCTACAACTTTGTCATTTAACTTTTTTCCATAAGACTTGTAGTTTTTCTGGAAATCAAGAGAAACCGTTTTTTACCCTTAAAAACTCACCCCCTACCCCCTCCCGACCTCAGATCGCCCGTAAATTATTGTTCCTTCCATTTCTGTTATATTCTGTTTCTTTTCCAATGGGTTTCATCCTACTATAATTTTTTTGGTTTCAAAAATTATCGACCCTGGTCTACGTTGCTTTTACTTCTCAATTTTTGGGGAATTTTTCAATGCAAAAGTTCAAACTAAGAAAAATATATATTTAAAAAAAATTGCTACTTTCTTATTATAATAATTAATAGTAATTACTATCTTAAATGTGTTGTTACTGCAAGAGTTCGCAAACAAAACCACATCCGTAAGCATCTGTAGCTGCCAACTGCGTGCACTAAACAAACTCCATTAAAATGTGGAACAAAATGAAATAAAACTTAGATACCATTTCTAGAGAAAATGTTGAAATTGATCCCGGATACAGGCATGGCATACACCCACCCAATTTTGGCGAATATTTTCCCAAATTCCAGGTATTCCCCTAACTGTAGTATTGTAAACAAATGAATTCAAGTGACTCCAAAGATAAAAGTCCATTGGAGTTAGATCGGGTGACCGAGATGGTCACGATACAGGACCAAAGCGTCCTATCCATCGCTGAAGAAACATTTCATTCAAACGTGTCGTTACATACTTCTCGAGTACTGTATGGAGGAGCCCCATCTTGAAGATAAAACATGCGTACCCGAACTTAATGCCACATTGTCCAATAATTCAGGCAACCGGTTCTCCAAAAAGTCAGTATATGTTCGTCCATTTTAGTAGTCCTTTAAAGAAATGCCTACCCACAAGTACATCGACTATTATGCCAGCCCAAGCGTTTACCGAGAACAGATGTTGGAAATGAGTTACCCTAATCGCGTGAGGATTTTCATCCATCGGCCGATATGTGCATATTATGGATATTTTCTTCATCACGGGTAAATGTCGCCTCATCTGTTACACAAACATGAGCAAGAAAGTCAATTTGATTGGCACATTGCCGTAAAAACCATCTGCAAAAACGCATTCGTTGATCACAATCCGAGGGCAAAATCTGTTGAACTGGTTGCAGATAACAGGGGTGCAACAGTTGGCGCCTAAAGATGCGATGTATGGTACGATATGAGGGGGGTGACGTTGTGGCCATCGTTTCCGGTACAACCTAGTCGCCGCGAGCGCATTTTCTCCGGCTGCACCATACACTAACACCATATCGACAAGCTCGGAAATAGTAAATGCATTGTTTTCTCGGTTCATTGTAAAACTAGTTTGTGCAGAAATTAAAAAATTAAGCAGAGTAAGAAATACAAATCTAGTTTTTAATGTAATCGGTACGCTATTCTTATTTTTTACTTCTTTATAGAAATTACACTATCGTGGAATTACAAAATAAAAAATTTTGTCTGGAATCTTTCACTTTTTAACACTGATGGGTCGATGGACGATACTTAATATTTAATAATTAAGTGAATAGGTAATTAATTCAATACAAACACAAAATTAGTTGACTACACAAATTTTTTGACAATGTAACTTAAACCTTCTTTTGGTATTATTAGTATTAGATTATACCGACTTAAATTATAGGGTTGCATCTCGGGTCGCATAAAAACATTTACAAAGTTTTTAATAAATAACACAGGGTCGGCCTTCGTTTTCGTTGAATAAATGAACTTTAATTTACAAAAAAAAAAAAACGCGAAGATAGAACTTTTTCGTATAAGAGTTTTCTATTACAAATATCATAAGGAAGCTTTAGTTTAATTTTTATAGAATTTTCTTTTATACACCATGTAAACTATTTTTTTTTCTTACTGTGTGGATTTATTATGCAACGTAGAAAACATTCTAACAGAGTCAGAACAGATGGTCCCGGCAGTCTTCTGGAGCAATGGTAGAGCTTCCTTCTGCTCCACAGAAAATGCAAGTACCAGATCAATAGGATACAGACCAGGGTTGCCAGCAGAATCTCCTGAGTTTTCCAAGTGCCTGCTTTGAAGTTTTGTTTCTTTACACCAGTTGAAAAGTTTCTTCCATGGCACAGAAATAGCGAACTGGTTTTATGAAATATATTGTAATGAAATAAAACTGTTTAACAAGGAAATAATAAGTTAAAAGTGCATTGTACAAACAAAATGGAGCATAAATATTGAATTACTTTGTATTGTAAAAGAAAAATTATCGGAATTCTTAGTATGTGAGAGATTACTAAATTAAAATGATAATAAAGGAGACGCAAATATTACAAGTATAATAAAGTTAAATATAAACTAGACGGGAATTATCAATCAAATATTGTGCCTGACAATTTCTTATCAGAGAGTACATAATCAAAAACAATGATACACCTAACGTCACACATATGAAAGCTAAAATTCCAAAATATAATTTTATACATCTAAAAAACACCAATTCAGATAAATATAACCATTTGAAATAAAAATCACTTAACCATAGACCACCTAGACGGATTATAGGGCGATTATGATGAAGGCAATTGGGAGCCTAGTCGGTAGCCCAGCCTAGCATCAGTCGTATCTGGAAACTTGGTATAAATAGAAGTGAACAAGTTGGTGAAGAGAGCCGAAAAATTCTCTTCTCTAGATAAATAAAATAAGCAATATACAGGGTGTCCCTGAAGAGGATGGACAACGCTTGACCACAGGTTCCTTGGATGAAAATAAGACTATTTAGCCTAACTTACCCATATACAAAAATGCACGCCTACTGAGATATAGCCTTCTAAATATAGAACAGATAACCTAGTTTTTCTTAGAAACTTCAAATTTGGTATACATATTTTTTTATATAAGGACAATGTAAATATAGAATTTGGCGATAATACATATACTGGATGTTATCTTTCTAGTGCCTGTGCGCCACTGGCTATCCCGTAATTTTTTTGTGTGTACGTCACTGACGACAGAATTTGTATTTTTAAAAATAAGCACTATTTTAGAAGATTTTTTGCCTCTTACAAAATTTTGATATCATCTATGGATTTCGACTAAAATTGGAATTTTTTACACATTAAATAATATAAAATTAGTTTAAGATAAATAGAATAGTCTAGTACGAGGTGCCATATAACAAAGAAACAAATTCATAACAATAATTAAAAGGTTCAGTGTCAAGCTAGCTGTGATTTAATTTTAGTTTACTTTGTTTTTACCGCAATTTATACTTTTGCTGGACAAACTGATGTGTTAGTAGGTTTGGGTTATTGTGAAGGAAATTATTGTGCTACTGTTCGAACATATGCTGAGTTTTCCTAATCGAAGAATTTCCAGTCACAACTTTTAACTGTAACATTAAATCGTGGATAATGTACGGCCGGAACTACTCAGCTGGAGGAACAAATTTTGGAAAGGGTCGAATAAATTCCTCAAGTAAATAAAAAGCGTTTAGCGGCAGAGGTTGGCTTTCAAAAAGTTCCGTTAATAAAATAGATTAAATAACCAGTTATTACAGGTTACTATACTAATAATGGGAAAGAATACAACATGAAATTAGTGTTATGATATGTAATGCACAATTATTGGATAAAATTCATTTTCATTTTCGAAGAACTAATGCTTGCGTTTAAGAACAAGGAAGTAACTTTGAGCATTTACTATAATATTATTTTAATGTTATTACAAATATCAATTTAGGTTTATTTAAAATGTTAATGTTGACTTTCTTATATTATTGATACTGTTTATTTAAAATATTAGTGTTGATTTTTATTTTATTGATTGATAATACCAATACTAAAAATGTGTAGTTATTTTTTTTAATGTGACGTTTTTTCATTATTGTTCCCCGTTTTGAGGCTGCAGTTATAAATTATTTTTTACAAAGCGGAATTTTTGTCTATATTTAATGTATAAAAAATGCCAGTTTTACTCAAAATCCATAAACGATATCAAAATTTTGTAAGAGCAAAAAAATCTTCTAAATTAATACTTATTCTTAAAAATATAAATTCTGTCATCATTGGCGCACACACAAAAAAGTTACGGGATATCTATTCTATATTTAGAAGGCTATATCTCAGTAGGCGTGCACTTTTGTATATATGTAAGTTAGGCTAAAGTATTATTTTCATCCAAGGAACCTGTGGTCAAGCGTTGTTCATCCTCTTCAGGGACACCCTGTATAAAACATAAATTTGAGCCATTACCTATATACGCCATTTCATGGTTAAGGTCAGAGTATTCCAGGGTTGACTTTATAATTTTGTTCCCACGCATAGTGTAATAGTAAACGTGATATTATTCTAAATTGTTAATAAAATAATGAATAAATGATTGTAACGTATTTTTAATAATTATTTACTTTAGGTAAAAGTTTCCGATTTATATGAAATTTTTCAAATTCCCGTAAATTTGTGGGAACTGAAAATTAGTGTGATATTATTTTTTGCGATCGAAAAAATAATAAAAAATTAATTTCAAATCCATGCTCAGCACCCTGGAAAAGCGGGGTTGGCAAAATTTTATTAAAAGATCACAGTTTTCTGATAAAATAATTAATTACCAAATTTTTATACTTGCTTCAATTTTTCGAATCTAATATTGTAATTTTTACTGATTCCCAAAGGATGTTGACATAAAGTACAGCTAGGTGAAAGCTTTTAAAAAACAGGATTGGGTATCATGTAATAAAAAACCTTTTGAATGTGAACATATTTGAAAATTTGCATGAACATATAATATGTATATAAAAAGTATATTGATGTGAGCATAAATCGTAAAGTCAAAATATTTATTTCAGTAAAATCTACGAAAAGAAAAATATTAAATAAACTAACATTACTTGAAGGACAATAAATATATTTAAATTATTTTGTAAGTTTATTTAATATAAGCAAGACATTAAAATATATTGTTTTCTGAATTCCAAACTTGAAAAATTAATAATTGTAATAAGTGTAAAAATATTGTTTAATCCGGACCTGTTCAAAGTATACGCGGTCAGATTACCCGTGCATTGGAATTAGATACAGCCAGTCTAGATGGCCCATGCAAACAATTCAATAGCTTTATTTTCATCATGAATCCGTTTCTGTTTTTTTATATCTTACATCCTCAGTATTATCGAACTTTAAAATCGAACACAGTTCACTGAAACGTAGGTACACCTCTAGAATTTCTCTACTGAAAAGTTCAAATGCATATTTGTACTGTCATTTCACATATACCGTAACATTTAACTAAATAGATTCGTTGTTCTAGATCTAGAGTCAACGTTATTAAAAAGGTCTCTGACAAGGACTTGACTTTTTTTATAAATAAATATCAGTGAATGTTGTTATGGATACAACACAGAAAAGTTTTGTTATTATTCAATAAATTATGCGCTTTCGTTGAATGTATAAAATTATTTTAATCATAATTTTCGCAAAAATATAAACTGAGATGCGACGTTTAAATTTCATGTTTGGACTAATATGACCATTAGAAACAACTTCTTTCAGTAACATTTTTAAATTCCCCTCGAAAAGCTAATACTTTACTCTTGGCACAAATTCACGTTTCCATATTTACTAACCACCCTGTATGTTATTTTGAAAGTCTGAGTATGGCTGATGACTTTTCACGACAAGCAAAACTTTTTATGAAGAATAACTTTTTTCCTTAAAATGCGAAATAAGGAAAATTACAAGTATAGTTAATAGTCCACAGTACAGACCCCCTCTAGAAAGTTGATTACCACATACTTTATAACTTCTGAGGAGCTTCGTTTTGACGAGTCTACCACACTTTTCCTCTGCGACTTTTCTCGATTCCTCCGCTTTTCCACTCGGGAAAGTCCAAAAACATGGCAATTTCCGGGGGTCTTGAAAAGTCAAGACCACATCTTTTATTTTTAGCTTAAGTAACTGGAAATTTTGTTGCAAATGCCGATTTAAATTTGTCCGACAGAAATTCTTCCGACATTGACGTGTCTACCGGTCGAAACATGCCAAAATAACAGGGTATTGAAAATCAATTACCACATAGGTAATTTTTAGTAAAATTAATTGTAAATAATTAATTCAGTCAAAAAGTATTGTTGTCCGACAAATTTCAAGCCGCGTTTTTTCAGTCCGACAGCTGGAAATCGGAATTTTCACGGGGTATGAAAAATCGATTACCACATATCTAATTTTCATTTTTTCCACTTTTAAATTTACTGTACAAAATAGTGATATAAGTGTCCGACGATTTAATGTCCGCAAATTATTAAAAAATCAATAAATCAATAAACGTGATGAAATTTAATTTTTTCACTCCAAAAATTTCATATTTATAAATGGTTATTAATTATTATTATGTAAATTATTATTTGTTTCAAATAAATAATTATAATATTGCTTATTTTATGCTTAAAAATTTAAAAGTTATAAACAAATGAAGTTATTTTTGAGGCGATTAATACGATCTTAGTGCATAATGCATTATTTCTAAATAAATTAATATTATACTTGATATAAAAATCCTTTTTTCTCTTTCAAGTTTTCATTCGCGTTTGTTATTTTTCTTTACAAAAATTTTCCTATTTTTCTAAAAGAAAATCCCAAAACTTTTGTGCATATTTTTTTTACACCATAAATACTTTTTTGAAATAGTTTAATTCTTTTGTCGATATTAATTTGGCTAAATTGAGTATATAGAGATTTACAATTACAAGAATAAAACGAAAAATATATACAGGGTGTTTCAGAAAGACCTTCCGTAAATAAAGGGGGTGATAGTATGACAAAAAATGAGAATTCTTTGTCTTATGAACTCTATGTCTATCTCCTCTTGTTTTCGAGATACAGAGAGACAAAATAAAATTTTTTAAATAACATTTTTATGAAAATTTCCAAAT